GTGTCTGCGCAACACCGAGTAGTTCATGTTACCGTTAGACGTGCTGTTCATACCTTATATCAATGAAATTGGCGCAAGTATGCTAAGTAGTCATATTGCTGGAAATCCTCTCGGTGTCTTCAGTTGGTTGAGATAGTTGCTCCTATCCGATGATCGCCACCAGTTGTTTTTTAAAAATTGATTATCCTTTCATCGAGCTACTAGAACTTTCTCTGAACTACGCTATCATTTATCTTGTCGTTGCTTTCCTCTGCACCCGGATGGACAGCGGCGGCTGGTTGTAAATAATGTTACTGTCGAATGTTCAAAGCATGACCTATTGCGCTGTATATAATATAAGATTTGGGGTTTTTGCCTATTAGAATTCGTAGCCATTATCCATTTTAATACCTCAAAGAAATCCTTTTATCATTGAATCCACCTTCTGAACAAGGAATAAAGTTTCATTGTCAAGAAAAGATTTTATGATCAAAACAACGCCTCAGATTATGAATAATTACCAAAAATACGATCCTTCACGATATCGATGAACATGACTAAATAAATTAGGACTAAAAGCATTGCTTAAATGTTCACATTCATGTGATCATCCATGTTGACAAATCACATTTGTCATTGTTATTTCTGGTACCAGCATCAGGCTGTTTAGGGTTAAAGACCATTTTACTGATTGTATAAACTGTCTATTTTTACAAAATTTACTATATCAATGACTTGCTTCATCAGGTTGATTAATTTCACACAAGTGCCATATATTCTTTCATCAAAAGTATAATCATTTGAACGATTGCCAAATACCAATTTTTTGGCCATGTTTTACAGGTCTTCTTCAAGGTAAAAAGGTTGGTTGAATTCGGAAATCTTTTTGTTGTACTCTCTAAGTTCTGAATGATTATATTCATTTCCTGAAACTTACACACTTCATTCAAGTCCTCAAAAAACGATCCCTTAAGAGTACTGACTTGCGTACTATTATTTTTAAATGGAGTTTCTTTTCTTTTATTGTTCACAATCAGGGTTTTAGAATGACTCGCGTTTTTCGTTTTGCAACTACCCTTTTGTTTTTAACGCGGCTGTCAAGACAACACTGCTGCAGACTGACGTCGCCGTGCAGATGCAGGTATTCAGTCGATGAGTCGACATCGATTTGTAGAATCTTTTAGATCCTTATTGAAGAGACCAATCGTTTCAATTTCCACTCGCTGTTCATTCCGCGCCTACCTCAGCGCAGTCCGTTCCTAAATCTGCACGTGACGCGGAGTAATCTTGTCCAAGACACGATCAGCCAGCTTGAAATGGTCAGTCCTTTGGATCTGAAGAAGCCGATTAAGGTAAACACAGATTTTCTTATAGTTGTTCATTAATTAAACGTTGAAAAATTAACATAAAAACGGTCTAAGTACTCTTTCGAGTGATAGTATTATACCGACGTATTGATCCGCATGTCACGGGATTTCTTTAAGATAAAGGAGTTTATATTCTTCGATTGTTGTAGAGATCATCGGCAACAGGTTTTGTTTTGAGCTTGTAGGCTTGTTTTCGCTCCATGCTGCCGGTCAGATGATTTTTCTTTGAAATAGCTCGTCAACATCTATATAAAGTTCGTATTCTCTGTCAACGCTGGCATGGTTGCAGACCTGTACGATTCATACAGGTCTATTCATTCAGTTTATTTCGCTGATGATTAGCAGATTTGGCGATTACGGCTTTCAGACATCTGTTATCGTCAGCTTCTTTTACAACTTGTGACTGAAACCGTTGTAATTTATAGAAGAGCACAGTCCGTACTGTTAGAACATCGGAACGGTCTCTTTCCAGATTATATTATGTTCATAACTGAATCAGAGATAAAAGGCAATTTCGCCCTTTTTTGGCACCCTCATGACACCAAACTAGATATTTCGTAAAACCTAAGTGTCTTGCAGATCTTCCAAGACAGACCACTTCTTTTCTATCGTTAATATCTAATCAGCTGGATTCTGTGGTGTAGCTCTGATAAAATGAATATTCTTAGAAACTGTATTATATTACGAAAGTTCTAAGAAATACAGAATTTTGTAGTGTCAATGACAATACTATTTACTACCAAATGGAGCAGTTTCATAACAGTAAGAAGTGAGATAAGCTGTGAGCTGGTCACAAGGACAACATAATTGTCCTGCGTAGGTAGCTGAAATGAAATCTTGCGAAAGGTCGCCTCATATGTATCTCTGAGAATGTTATTCACACCTCAGCTCACTTTCCATGACATATATAGGCACCTAAAGCTAGAAGCCTTGATGAATCAATACCATTTGTTGAGAATTTTTGAAGATTACTTCATTAAAAAAGGTCTCACCATTGAATAGTCAAAAAACTGTATTGTGGGGGGACAGAACACAGAAGATAGTCGCTGCGCTTTACCGGTGGGGTTAAAATTCAACGCGGCGAAACATTTTCTTATTAAATGCTAATTCCAAACTCTATTGAGCAAAGAATTATCTCTGTTGCATTTCGATTCAGCCATGAAAGGAGCGGGTAGCAAATTGATGGCTTGAAAAGAATAGGGGGAGTAGGGGCAGCCGTACGGTACACCAGAAGGTTATTGATGTTTTTCTTTGAAGTTCACAAAGAGTACCGTGCATTTAACGATATTTACAATTATATGAAGTCCAAGGGCACTCGATTTATCCTTAGGAGGTATGTTGTACCAAAAGAACAGTTGTTGACAGAAATCTAAAGAAAATGATTCGATATAAATGGCTGCTGCTTTGATAGTTACTAGATGATAGTTTCTTTTCTCTAGATGTATCTTATTGTACTTACTGTGCCTATTATTATACACAGTACTACTAACTTCTTTTGGCAAGCCCAAAATATCACGAGTGTTTTTGAGTATCTAATCCTGTATTTTTCATAGAGATGTTTCGTTTACTTAGTTTTCAAGAGGCTGTTTGACTGGAAGGCGATTAGGGCTTGTTCATTCACGGTAAAAAATGCTGCTATATCATAAAGCCGTGGCCTGTACAAGTGGCTGCGTACGAGTTTGCTGTGTTATTTCAGGGAAGTGAAAGATTTAGATTTAGTTCGTGAATTATATCAATATTTCACATTTTATTTGTCAGTTTACAATTAACATTAGGCATTAAAGATAGGCTCTCTTCTAGTAGCCTTTTATGATCGATAGTAAACGAGATTAACTTAATAGTTTATAGGCAGTCTGAGTATGCTGACGAAGTTTTTTTCCTATAAAGTTTGTTAACTTTAAAGGCACTGGTAGGATTTTCATTTGTTTCGGTTTGTTTTCGTCTCTGAACTATTAACCTAATTAAAACAGTAGCCTTAAACGGCTTCCTAAGCTGGGAAGAAGGAATTAAGGTTGTTCCTCTTATTTCAGGGAAAGAAAGATTTAGCCCGTGTAATTTTTTTCACAGATTATGTATACATGTAGCATTTTGGCTATGTATACATTTACAGTTAATATGACATAAGGCTGATATCTTTTATTAGCCGTTTAGATTGATGATAAGCGAATGATTAACTGTGTAGTTTATATTTGTCAATTAATATGTCATATTACCCTAGTGAAGTTTTCTTTTTTACATCATATTTGATCGGTAAAGGTACTGCTGTTAATTTGCGCTTGCTTTTGCAGTTTTTCGTGTGAGCTAAAAATTTTTGTTTTGAAAGGTATCATTCGATGGCGAAGAAGCAGATGATGTCGGTGGAGTGTCGAAGGAGTTTTTCATGCTACTGTTTCAAGAACTGTTGAATCCGAAATACGGCATGTTTGTAGAAAACGTTGAATCTCGGAAACTTTGGTTTTCTGATATTCCTTTCGAGGGAGTAAGTGCAATTTTCTCGCACTGAATTGTCCCTCACTTCTGTAACGCCCACTGATTTCAGCCGCAAATGTTCCAGCTGGTTGGAATACTGTGTGGACTGGCAATCTACAACAGCGTGATCGTCGCGTTGCCATTTCCTCTGGCGATGTACAAGAAACTGTTGAAAGAGGACGTGAACCTAGACGACCTTAAGGAACTAAGTCCAACGGAAGGAAGGTGAGGTGATCAGCGTTCTTTCTGCGCCGTCTATTTATGCATTAAGGTCTCTTGAGGCGTTGCTCGACTACGAGGAAGACGACTTTACGGATGTGTTCAGTCTGTCATTTGAAGTATGGTTAGCAATGTCCGCGTTTCGTGTTTATTCACCATTCGTTTGTTATTTTTTGTAGATCACGATTTCAGCGTTTGGCACGACTCAGAACGTCGAATTGAAAGACGGCGGTTCGCAGATCGCCGTTACCAAGCAGAACCGCCAGGAGTACGTCGATCTCTACATCGACTACAAGCTGAACAAGGCAAACTGTATGCATTTTGAGGCGTTCGCGAACGGCTTTCACAGGGTGGTAACCAGCCATATCCTGAGCTTCTTCCAGCCGCAGGAGCTCATGGAAATGGTAGTCGGCAACGAGGTGTACGACTGGGACGAGTTTGAACGGGTTCGTTGCCACCGGCGACGATTATTCGTCGTTGCACATAAGTTCGTCTAACCTGACCGTTTCGTTGCAGAACACCCAGTACCAAGGCGAATACTGGCATAATCACCCGGTTATTAAAGTATTCTGGGAGGTTTTCCATTCACTGAACCTGGAACAGAAAAGAAAATTTCTGCTCTTTCTTACCGGCAACGATCGCGTTCCTATCTTAGGCATGAAGAATATAAAGGTAATCAGCACCTGCATAGTTGCCAAATTCTTTCTTCCCTTTAATATGCTTTTTCATTTATCCTTTACCGTTGTACTCTCAAACCGTTCCACCCTCTTTGGTTCTCATCTCATACAACTTGTACATACTGTGTACTGCATTATCCGTTTATGATCAATGTCATACTGCTAGCTGTTCCATGTTTCCAAAGGCTCTGTTTCAAAGGTGTATCTAAATTCATATTATTGCTTATTACTAATCTCTATTGATTTCTTATTTATTGCTTTCAATTTATTATTAGTCTTTATTTCATTATTAATTTTTGAAGTAGTCGGCAATTTTGATGTATTTATTTTTTACTTGAGGTATTGCTTATTTTCTGTTGATTATTAGCCTTTCAGTAACTTTCTTGTCGCTCTAAACGTGCTAACAGATACTTCATCAGTGTTCTATCTAAAGCATTGATACACTCATCTTGGCTGAGCAGACTGGATTGTTTGAATATCTAGAGTAGATATTTTCTCATGGTGAGAGGTGATAGTACATAATGTGAAATTAAGAGACCGCTTTCTTAAAATGACAACTTTATTAAATAGTGAAAAAAATCTCATGGCTGGTATATGGAAAAATTTAAGCCCTGAACCTTTAAGCAAGATGGGATAAACTTTGCTTCCTAAGTGATACCTTTAAAACCCTGAATCAAATTTTATACCCGTTCATCTCCTGCCATATCCGAGATTCCATCATGTTTTTTAAAGATTTTTATTAAGGCTGGCATCCACTCCCTTTATTTGAGTTTGTATTTTTTTTGGGGGGGAGGGGGGCTTTTCGTTCTGAGTATATTTGCTTTAAAAGCACAGATTTACCAATCACTGATTAATCTTGCCTTATGAACTGTCCCCTTAAGAGTTAATGCTAGTCTTTAGGACGAACTATTTTACTGATGTTCTTCACCAAGCTTCGCCGTAAAAAGGCGGTCCTATACCTCGATTATAATCTACTTCTGCCACGTTTGCGCTCTATGTATCTGCGCTATTCTTCCGTTTGTTACATCTGAACAAACGAGCTTTTCCTTCGTAAAAAACTGTATCATGTCCAGTTATTAAAATGAATTCTGTTAACATTAATTAATTAATATCAGCCCATTTTTGTTTATGTTAATCGTTGCATCACTGGTAGTTCTTTTTTGTTAAAATTCGCCTTTCACAGATACACATCCAGCCTACACAAGGTGGCGAAGACTATTACCCTGTTGCTCACACCTGCTTCAATTTGCTTGATCTGCCAAAATCTACAAATAAAGAAAAGATGAAACAAAAGCTGTTAGAAGCGATTGAAAATACGCAGGGTTTTACTCTTGTATGAAACGTTTGTTTATCAGATTTTAGAGCCGGAAGGAATAGACATTTTCGCTGCTAAACTGCCTTACGCTAAGTAAAGCTGCATTTTTCACTGAGCTGTAAATTTCGTCATTGAAAATTCAGAGACAAGTTTTATTTATTATAGGGAAAGAAATAAGAAATTATTTTATCATTTTTTAAAATGAAACTTATTTTGACTTAATTTCATTTTTCTTTCTTGTACCTTATTCCTTCCGTTGTCAGTTCTTTTGAAAACCTTGAATAAAAATATCATAAGCTGTTTTACTTGGTCTGTATTGCATTCTTTGAGGAGCCTGGGAATCAGGAAAAGTTAGGGTACTTATCGCTATGATTTGCACGAAAGCTACTGTTAATTTGAAACTTTACGAAAGCGCAAACAAATTCAAAATCGAAAAGGGCGTCAGAAAGGGTGATACAGTATCATTAAAATTGTTATTTGCAGCCCTAGAAGTGCTTTCATGACACTCCGTTGAGAAAATTAGGGGAGCAATGGGCACTGCTTAACCTATCTATGGTTTTGAACCTCTCAAGATCGCCGGAAGAACTTCAGAGAAGAATCCAAGAGCCGAATGACGCCACTATTAGAGTAGAACTGAAACTGAAGCGAAGAAGGCTGAGATCATGTTTAACAAAAGGGTAAAAGAGCGACCCACTGTACTTGGTTTCTTAGTCTTCAAGAAGCGCTAAACCATGTCGACCTGGAACAGCTTATCTCTGAATCGGGGAACTGACTCTCGAAATCAACAGAAGAGCAAAAATGGCATACAGCACTTTTGGAAGATTGTAAGTGTTCATACTTGAAAAAGCAAGAGCACAAACAATAGTCGGTTACGTCATTGTACTAGTGAGAAAAATGAACTGGCACTGGGTAAGAAGCGTTGTAAGATGAACCGGAAAGACATTTAACTGGGTTCCAAGAGAGGACAACCGCCTTATAGGAAGGCCTTGATGGAAGAACTTCGTTAGACTGAGACGGATAAAAATCGCAATGAACAAAAGTTTATGGCAAAGTCTCGCAATAGTGGATCGAAGAACACTGCCGATGATGAAGTAAGCTTACCCTTCTGTGCCAATAGTGAAACTGCGTATTACCCTCACCGTTAGCAAACGAGGTGTCTGCAAAAGTAACCATGCTATCGACAGCAAAGAAACTAAAATATTAGACCAGGACACCATCACAAGAATTCGGTTAAT